ATAAATGTCTATGTTAGTCTCTTTATAGTCAATCTTCATTCTTGTTTTGGAAAACCTAAGCCTCCTAAAGTCTCTATGATTGGATAGATACCTTGCGGGCCTTATATATTAATTAATTAAAACAATATATTATAGAAAGTCTAGAAATTGTGTCATGTAATGGCATTCTTGAAAACAAAAATGGAACAATGACGAACAAAAAAAATGCTCACGTTTTCTTAAATTTCAATGCCATTCTACAAGCAGGCAATTATGGTTAAAACTAAATCGTTGTTGTTCAAAAAAATGCAAAACTTATGCTGAAAAAGGTTATAAATATATATAAATATATATACATATATATATATATATATGTATATATATTGGATGTGAGTTAATTATAGAATGCCCACCACTTTAATATTACTGTGTAAAATAAGAATGTCACAGTAATTTATTTATTTATTTATGTGTGTGTGTGTGGGGGGGGGGGGGTTGTTCGAATAATGCTCAATAATTGCGCAGTGCTGTATCAAGAGCAATGTTTGCGTGAAGAGTTTAGTAAGATGATAGACTTTTAAGAGTTTAGTAAGATGATAGACTTATAAGAGTTTAGTAAGATGATAGAGTTATAAGAGTTTAGTAAGATGATAGACTTATACATCCAAAAATATCAATTTTATTTTATTCAATTTAGCTCTCTATCTTTTTTTAAATTTTATTGTAGACTGCTCGTCTACTTCGTTTTTCTGGATATTCTGAATGAGTAACATGTTGCAACCGAGAAAACATTTCCGATTCTGCACAGATAGGCCTGATATACAAAATACTTGGTTTAAGCCTAAAATTTAATGCCATGTGTTTAAGAAACTTATGTTGTACCCAGGATGTTTCAAGTAGAGCTGGAGAAGGTCACGGGCGATTTTAATAATTGGACTGAAGTGCAACCTTGTGTCCCTTTATTGGTCGGTTCAGCCAGGTCCCCATTGACCACACGGGACTATCCCAACCCCCCCCCCCCACACACACACACAGGTTTGCCAGCGATATCTCCATGACAGCATGGGTGACTCAATAACTGTCATAACAGTTCTCTATATTTAAAAGGGGGGGGGGGGGGGGGGGGGGGGGGGGGGGGGGGGAACGGTGATTAGAAAATCCAAAAAAAAAAGACTACCAAGGGCAGTTAACAAATCTCTCAACAAAAGAGTTTGCACCAATTCAACGTCTGAACATCCGTGTGTCTGTATGAGACACACAGACAGAGAGAAAGAGACAGAGAATGGGAGGGAGACAGAGGAAGAGAGTGAGAAAGAGAGAGAGGGGAGAGAGAGAAATAAAGAAAGAGAGAGGGGGAAAGAGAGAAAGAATAAGAGAGGGGTGAGGGGCCATAGAAAGAAAGAGAAAGAGAGATTGGGGGGGGGAGAGTAGAGAGAGTGGTCAGGAAATCAATCAGAGAGAGAGAGAGAGAGAGAGAGAGAGAATGAGAGAGGGCAGGGAAAGAGGTCGGTATGTAGAAAGAAAATGAGAAAAGGTCATACAGTCTTCACCCACATCGCCAGATTCAATTCATGTGTAATGTGTAATCACCGACGGAAAAATGCTGGGGTGGAGGGGGACGAAGTCCACCCCGGCCTGGGCGTATCCTTTTTTAATATATTGAATGGTGATTTCAGACTTTCATGTATTTATTACTAGATGTCTCTTGGAGAAATGCAAAGAATACAACATCAACATACACCAACTATATGTGGACGACTACAAATTTGTCGTTTTGTTGTTTCTTGTGTGTGTGTGTGTGGGGGGGGGGGGTGGCAAAATTTAGGCCCATCACGGTGTTTGATCCAATGTCTTGGTGTCAGTCTGCCTGAGTTCACCACTGTGCAGTCGACATACTGGGGCACTCTTCTTACTTTCTGCCACGTGTTAATGACAACAATTTGGATTTAAATGTCATAAATAGCTTGCAAAGTTAAACAATAAATAATATATATATATATATATATATATATCTTAAAAACTGGTCTTGAAAAGGACAACACACTGTGTAAATAGTGCACTGTGCCGTCCCCCCCGTATTCATTCATATCGATTTTTCAGACCTTTAACTTTGAGCTTAGCGATCTCTTGGAAAGTCTTTGACATCACAGACGGGTTTTTGTCTGCTTGCCACCCCTAGGTCTTGGCGAGCCGTATGATCGAGCTTTTAGTTCTGAAATGACGTTGGACAACCTCACACGTTTGAACTCTTATTTCATGGCATGAGTATCAGTCCCGCCTTGACAGTCCGGCGGACATGTAATTTTATGTCACTTTGTGAGGTTTGGGATAAAAAAAAATATTTTTTTTTAGGTTCATTATTTTTCATGGCGACAGTTGATATTCATTGCCGTCTCACCTTGACATTTTTGCTGACAGGTAATATTACGTCACTTTGTACTGATTGGTATTAATTGTTTTATGCATGATACTATCCGCGTAAATACTTAATACCTAGGAGCAAACATGAGAGCCTCTGTGAATGTTTCACATTATATGCATACATAATAATATATATATTATATATATA